AGATCTGTGTTTTTATTTTTATTTTTTTTCGCCCTGTCGCTTCATATTTTTCCTGAAAAAATCCGAGAACCAACAAATTAAATTGGTGTGGCCTATAGGCCTAATAAAGTAGTTTTATACAGTAGCAGCTCGCACAAAGTGTGGCAGAAATAACTGATTGCCAACAAGAATAAATTACAGGTCTGAAAACATTAAAGTCTCATGTCTCTTATTGCTTATCAAGACAGCGTTTGCCCTAACTGCCATGTGTTGTTTGAAGATATTTTTTGACACACTAGCTATATAATGTGACAGTATAGTGTTCTGGACCTAATCCTGAAGTTTTTCATATTCCAGTGGTATTACTATTAGAAACAATTCATTCACATTGTTTACATACAAACAATGCTCAGTATGGCAGAAGATATCAACTTGTGAACATTGATTTTCATTCCCAAAACTTCATTCAAAAATTCACTCCTTACCAATCTGTTTCCAGTGACCAATCATTATCTCTCTTTCATGCTGTCTTATTCTGCTGTTTAACCAATCAGTATCTTTCTTTCATGCTGATCCCTTGTTCTGCTGTTTAACCAATCAATATCTTTCTTTCATGCAGATCCCGTGTTCTGCTGTAACAGTTTAACCAATCAGTATCTTTCTTTCATGCTGATCCCTTCTGTTGTTCAACCAATCAGTATCTTTCTTTCATGCAGATCCCTTGTTCTGCTGTTTACCCAATCAGTATGTTTCTTTCATGCAGATCCCTTGTTCTGCTGCTTAACCAATCAGTATCTTTCTTTCATGCAGATCCCTTGTTCTGCTGTTTAACCAATCAGTATCTTTCTTTCATGCTGATCCCTTGTTCTGCTGTTTAACCAATCAGTATCTTTCTTTCATGCAGATCCCATGTTCTGCTGTAACAGTTTAACCAATCAGTATCTTTCTTTCATGCTGATCCCTTCTTCTGTTGTTCAACCAATCAGTATCTTTCTTTCATGCAGATCCCTTGTTCTGCTGCTTAACCAATCAGTATCTTTCTTTCATGCTGATCACTTGTTCTGCTGTTTAACCAATCAGTATCTTTCTTTCATGCAGATCCTCTGTTCTGCTGTTTAACCAATCAGTATCTTTCTTTCATGCTGATCCCTTCTTCTGTTGTTTAACCAATCGGTACCTTTCATGCAGATGCCTTATTCTGCTGTTTAACCAATCAGTATCTTTCTTTCATGCAGATCCTGTTTCATGCATTGTTCTGCTGTTTATGTTAATAAATCGTCCTACCATGACAAGTCGCCACAGAATATGATCAAAAACAAAGTATTTCCAAAACAACTCCTAAACAGACCTTTTGTTTTGCTGACTAAAAATCACTGAATACAAAAAAATCACTCTGATGAACCCTGGGTAATCTCAGGGTTTGTGACAAACCAAAATGGACCAATCACATCACTTCTTACAAAGACTTCTTGTCTTTCTAATCCTGATTGGGTGAAATATGAGTATGAAAAATACAGCACCTAAAGCAATACCTTGTAAGTATAAGATGACTGAATTTTTGAAGATGTGATATTTACAGTCCAAATTGTTGAAGGTTCCAGCCTCCAAATGGCTAGCAGTCCACCGAGTTGACATCATAGGCTGAAAAACTGACCACAAGGCACAAGAAAAGTACCTTGGTGGAGACAGAATGCCATGAGACATGGTCAGTCATAAGTATACAAGACTGCTGTGTGTGTATTCTACTTTTACATGTGTTCCAGTGTAGCAGGCCAAAACATACCCGGTATATTCTCACCGCGGGTACATTTTGTCCTGCTACACCCGTTGTTAGTTTGGCAAGTACATGTCTCAGACATTTATAGTGCAGGTCTTAGTCACAAGTAGTGGCTTGGAGGTTTAATCTATTCTTTGCTTCTTACACAGTTATCAAGAACAGTTTGGGATGACTCTATAGCTGGAGTATTGGATAGTATATATTATGGCAACAACACTTATATGTAGTAGTGTTAGTATCCACGGGGACTCTTGTTTTTGACACACAAAAGTACACAAAATCACAGGAAAAACCTTTGCAACCTACACCAAAGTGGCAGGTATATCATCATCATCTAACGGATCGTACCACCCCTCCCCAACCCCTCTTGCCCCCTCCACTGATGCTCTTCTCCTCTCCTCTTTGCTTCTCTTTCTGTTCTTCGATTTCCTTCGATGGCCTCTCCTCTGGTCGCCCGTGTCAGACAGGGCAGCCGCGTCTTTTTCCCTTCTCTCCCAGATGCTCTGCGCCTTGCTGGCAGCCTCCAGGGCCAGCCTTCGTTCTCTGGTAAGGCGTGGAGGCGGCTCTGGAACATTCTGAACAAACGTTGCCGCTTTTCCGTCCAACTGGTGGTAACCGGTCGCCGGATGCCTTGTGTTTGTAACGTGTGTGTGCGGCGTAACAGAAAGATGCGAGGCTGGAAGGACGGGATGACTTTGAGCAGTGTCCTGACCCACTGGAAACGCCACGGCGTTTCCGAAGAGCGCCTGGTGTGCATCTGTGATAGCCGCAGATAGTGACGTAGTGGGGCCCTGTACAGGTACATGTGCAAACATATTGGGCACTGCTATATCCTTATTGTCACTTTGTACTAGTCCTTGATTCCCCTCTGATTCTACGTTCACGTTCGCTACCCCAGTGTTCTTAGCATTTGGTGATGGCACTGTTAGCGGGGTTAACGCTGTGTCGAACGCGAAAGGTTCGGGGACGCGTTCTTGCGGAATCCAGATCTCGTCTGCAGCAGGTATCCTGGGAAATTCCCGACTTAAAGGCAGCTTCGCGCACAACGCCTGGAGGTCACCGGTCATCTCAAACGGCGAGTCCAGGTTGGTTTCCAGATAGTCTTTCGGGCTAGTTGGGTCATCTTCAAACTTAAGCTCGAGTTCCTTTGGAGCTTCCTTTGTGCTCACAGGGTTGCTGTTTTTCTGTACTGATGTAAAACTACTTTCTCCTAACCCTACTGCACCAATGAGCTCTGTTGTTTCTTCTCCTGTTGGTTCCCCTGAATCTGCTTGAGCCCTTTGTACAGTGTTAATGACAATGGAATCGATTTCGGAAAGGTTGTACAACGTGTGTGAGTCCATGGCCAGGAGACTGCCAGGCTCGGTTTCCGGCTCGTCGTTGGGGGGCTCCCAAATAAGGGACTTGACTTCAGCAGGGGGGGTGGGGAAGTCGCTAAGCTCCTCCCCCGCACCCGTCGCTGTGTTTGCATTTCCGTTGTCAGGCACAGAGCACAGAAATTCCAGCCCTTCCTCGGCGGCGTTGGCGGCAACGTTTGCTTCTGCTTTGGGTGACATGCCATCTACTTTTGCTGAAGCGTCCTTGGGTGGTGTTGTGGTGGTGTTCTGACCAGCAGAAGGATTGGCGGGGGTGTTTCTACCTAACCAGCCCTCATCTGTGAGCCACGCTCGCAGGGTGGCCTCAAGAAACTCAGTCTTCTCCCCAACCTCCAGCCATTCTGCTTCCTCCACTTTCGTCCCACTTGTGGACGCTACTGGCGGCTTCTGCAGCTCAACTTCGGCAGGATTTACCGGATCTGCCTTTGGTTCACCTTTCCTACTTTTCCTTCTGGGCGAATCAGAGCTTTTACGAGGCTTTTTCTCCACTCCGGTGGCCCCCAGGGCGTCCCCGGACAATGCCACACTCACCCACCCTCCCTCTGGTACGTCCTCCACACGTGCGGAATCGCTCGGCACTACCTCTACTACTTCTTCTGGAATGTTGGGTTTCTCCGGCACAGTTTGCTGAAGTGGAGGGACTGCGGAGGGGGGGAGGTTGTTGTTGTTGCTGTGGTTGGACATGTTTGTATTTGCTGCTGGGACAGGTTCAGGCGGGACTGGTAGCGGGGCCTGTGGTTGGAGGGGTCGGGCGGTGGATGAGCTTGTTGTGGAAAGCTGGAGGGAGAGCTCTATGGCACGGATCAGTTCATCCTCACCTGGGTCTCCTGCTGAAAGGAAAAAAGATTTACGATCATTATAAAACAGATTGCTGTTGTTACATGTACCTATCACATACAACTGTATAATATTTATTATTGAGATCCTTTTCACAAATCATTTCCTGAAACCATTACCTTCTGAACATTCAACTCATTTGGAAGAACGTGAAGAATGTAATAACATACAATCATTATTTTGCTTTGAGGTACATGTATTTTCATCCACACTTGCTCTTTTTTTGGAGTACTAGAAGTATTTCTAGTAATTTATCAATTTCATTTCACTGTCTGGAAGATTATTATATATATTTGATTATCACATTAACATTATGGGTTCTATTGGTGTGCCAGCTATTTTCATTTTATGTCCACTATACCTTTTGTTTCCTCAAACTGTATTAATTTCATGTTTTTATGTTTCATGAGCAAAGGATTCTTATTTAACTTAATATATAATATATATTAAGCACATTACATGCTTTCTGCTCACAAATCTATGTGAATAAAAAAATAATAAAATAAAGTTTTAAAAAAATCTATAAAAAAAAAAGAAGTTGAAAAAATTTTGTTTAAAAAGTTACAAAAAGATTTAAAAAAAGACAGCAACATTACCAGCAGACTCGTTGGGAGCGAGCTGTGCAGACAGCCTGGACAGCTCTAACACCCTGTGCAGGTCAGGGTCAGGGACAGCTGGCTCCGCCCCCTGTGGGGTGTCCTCCGTAGGGATCTGAAACAGTGCCTGTTCAGCTGCAGGCAGGTCCCTCTGAGGGGTGCTCGTCAACGGATGGACTTGGTTTCCTCCGTCCCCCCTCCCCACAGTCAAGTGTTCGTAGTCGCTGTAAATCAAAACAAGGTAATCAGAAATACACCAAAGTGTTGGACAAATTTTTAAAAAAATTTTTATTCACTTGTCTTAAGTTCATTTCCACTTGTCCGAACCAACTTTTCACTTGCCCAAAATATATTATATAGATGCATTTTTACTACCACCAAGAAAATTATCTTATTTTGGACATGTATAATGTTGGGTGATTTATCTATCAAAACAAGGTGGTTTGACTTGTTCCAAACACTGTAGCGGTACCAAAAGTACCGGTATAACAAAACTAGAAAGGTAACATTTGCAAACTTTAAGCAAATGCATAATGTTTACCTTCGAATATGGTCTGCTCTGTTAAATCTTACTCAAACACATTGCATATATATATGGTCGGATAGGAGTCTAAATCCCTCCTGCTATAAAATTGCAACATGATGTAACCCAACACTAGTTACCATGGTGACAGATTTCTGCTTCAGGTCACTGACCAGGTCACAGGTCAGTGTTTGAAACGGAAGAAGAAACAGAGCAAAAACAATATTGTTTTCCTTCGGTAAACATAATAAAGAAACATTTCTGCACTAATTCTTCAAACGTTGACATCCAAAACTGAGCTCTGACCTGTCTTCTGACTCCTCTGTCCTTTGACACAGCTGGCG